AAATAGCCTTCGTGGAAAAGCCTGCATCCTTCATCCGGGGCGGGGCTTTGCTCACGCAGAGGCCAGGGTATAGGGCAGCAGGATTGCCCACTTCCCCACGTCTGGTCTGTTCTCATAGCTAGAGTCATGTATCTGCCCCTCACTGCCATGCTTCACCCTCCTCGTGGGTTTCCTGTGATAGCTGAGCAGAACTGGAGGTCCTGATCAAGGCGCCTAGAGCCCTGTGGGGCCTTGACCTTGGACCCGACCACCTCTGTTCTGCTCTCCTCTCCTCACTGCGTCTGCAGCCTCACTGATCTCCTCGCTGTTCGCAGACATCACGTCCCTTCAACCACAGGGCCTTGCACGTATTTGCTCTTTCTCTCTTCCCGGGACACACTGTCTCCAGCTGTCTGCAGGGCTCACTCCTTCACCTCTCCGGGCCGCCTGACCTGTGAGCCTTCCCGCGTCACCTGTCTAGCACCCCCCAGCCCTGTTCCTTTGCTGCACTCCCTCTCTCTTCTTCAGAATGGCCCTTATCACTACCTGGTTCCATCCTGCATAGCTGTGTGTTTGGTGATCTGTCATCCACCTCCTCCGTCTGGAAACAAGTGCTCTGCAGGTTGAGGGTGGAGTGTGCCCACTGCCAGCCCCTCAGCACCTGCTCGTGGTTGGCGCTTCTCAAATACAAATATCTCTTGCCATTCATTTGGTTCCCACGTGGTCAGGGAGAGGTAGAAGGGCAGGGGTTTTCATGTTTCCAAATCTGTTTGGCTTGTGAATTGCAATTAGTATGCAGTAGTGTGTCAGATATTGAGAGAGCCTTGTGAAAATCTGTCTGAATTGGTTTAGCTCCTGAATTTGGGTGGTTGAGTGTTCAAGCAGGGCGAGCTTGAGAATTTGGAAAGTAAGGAAACTTTGCCAAATGAATAAGAGAAAGGGAAGAGATAGATATGGCTAAAGTCTGAAAGTAGAGCAGCTGGGACCACTGTGTCAGGGGACATCAGGGGACTTCAGTGGCCCAGGTTTCCAATTGCAGGTGATACCAGTGGCCCTGATTCGTCACTGGAGGGTGTCCTCTATACAGAACATTTTATTTAACAAGGAAAGGGGTTATGAAATACCTCTTTAGAATACTTCTTGTCATTAAAATACTTTTGCGCTTAAAGCGGTAATCTGTGTTTGTCCGGAAAATTCACTCATCTGGCGCTGTGCCTGGCAGTGCCCGGTCCGAGGTGCCATTGCAGCAGGAGTCCTCGTTGTGAGCAATGTTTTAATGGGGTTTTCTGCTAAAGCACCAGCTTTCCTGCGTGGCCTCTCTTCGTTCTGTTTCCTGTCACTGTAGCAACCTCACTCCTGGGAGAGGTGCTGGCTCAAAGCTTAAGTCCATGAAGTTGCTCGAGGTTCTGAATGCCCTGGAGGAAGACGAATCTGGCCACAGTAGGAAGGAGATCTACATCGCACCACCCAGTAACGCTGCGGGGGACTTCACTGATGAGGACTCGGGCGATGAAGATGGCCGGCGAGGAACCCACCTGCCCGGCAGCGTGCTGCACGCCTTTGTTGTGCCCGAGGATTCTGGCCCTGGGGAGGATGAGGACGACCTGCAGCCAGCCAGGAAGAAGCGGAGGGCAGGAGTGGAGCCTCAGCGCGTTTGGACCAAAAGAGACATCCGGCCGGACTTCAGCAGCTGGACAGCGTCAGATCCTCATATGGAAGATCTCAGAAGCCAGGAGCTGAGTCCTGTGGGCCTCTTTGAATTGTTTTTTGATGAAGGCACAATTAATTTTATTGTTGATGAAACCAATCGTTATGCTTGTCAGAAAAATGTCAGCCTGGGTCTCACGGCCCAGGAGCTGAAGTGTGTTCTGGGCATTTTGATCTTGAGCGGGTACATCTCCTACCCAAGGAGAAGGATGTTTTGGGAAACGTCTCCTGATTCCCATCACCATCTCGTGGCTGATGCAATCCGGAGGGACCGGTTTGAGCTGATCTTCTCATACCTGCATTTTGCAGATAATAATGAGCTGGATGAAAGTGACCGGTTTGCCAAGGTCAGGCCTCTCATCGTCCGGATGAACTGCAATTTCCAGAAGCACGCACCCTTGGAAGAGTTCTACAGCTTCGGAGAGTCCATGTGTGAGTACTTCGGACACCGGGGATCCAAGCAGCTGCCCGCAGGGAAGCCTGTGCGCCTGGGCTACAAGATTTGGTGTGGGACAACCAGCAGGGGCTACCTGGTGTGGTTCGAGCCCTCGCAGGGCACGCTGTTCACGAAGCCCGGCAGGGGCCTGGACCTGGGAGGCAGCATGGTGGTCAAATTTGTAGATGCGCTTCAGGCACGTGGCTGTCTGCCGTACCACATATTTTTGGACAAGGTTTTTACAAGTGTCAAACTGATGTCCATTTTGAGGAAGAAAGGAGTGAAGGCGACAGGAACTGTCCGTGAATACAGAACGGAGCGATGTCCCCTTAAAGATCCCAAGGAACTGAAGAAGTTGAAGAGGGGTTCGTTTGATTACAAAGTGGATGAGAGTGAGGAGATCATTGTCTGCCGCTGGCATGACAGCCGCGTGGTCAACATCTGCTCCAACGCGGTGGGCATAGAGCCGGTGGGGCTGAGCAGCCATCACTCGGGGGCGGCCAGAACGCAGTCCCAGGTCCACCAGCCATCCCTGGTGAGGCTGTACCAGGAGAAGGTGGGGGGTGTCGGCCGGATGGACCAGAACATCGCCAAGTACAAGGTGAAGATCCGGGGTATGAAGTGGTACTCGAGTTTCATTGGCTACGTCATCGACGCTGCTCTTAACAACGCGTGGCAGCTGCACCGGATATGCTGCCGAGACGCCCAGGTGGACCTCCTGGCCTTCCGGAGGTACGTGGCCTGTGTGTACCTGGAGAGCAACGCGGACACGTCGTCCCAGGGGAGGCGAAGTAGGAGGCTGGAAACCGAGAGCCGCTTCGACATGATTGGGCACTGGATCATCCACCAGGACAAGAGGACCCGCTGCGCCCTCTGCCACTCGCAGACCAACACCCGCTGCGAGAAGTGCCAGAAGGGCGTGCATGCCAAGTGCTTCAGGGCGTACCACATCCGGTGAGGCGCGCCCCGCAGGGGGGGCCCCCCCGCCGGTCTGCCTTATGCTGAGATGTTTACAGCTGATGACATGCGGCACTTGGAGCACTTGCAGTTTGTGTTGGAAAAAAAAGAGACCCGAATCCCTGATGATTTGGTTTCGTCTATTTCCCCGTCTTCATTACAGTTCATCGTTTCATTGTCTCTTATGTCTACATATAGTATAAATTAATATTTATATTAGTAATTGTAAATATTTATGAATATGTATTTTGTAGTGTTATTTATTTCAACTTACAGGCCCCCTTTTTATTCATATAAAAACTTTGCTTTGGCGTATAGCTGAGTCCTGGTAAGGACAAGTAAATGTAACCCAAAACTTCAGAGAAACTTTCATGAACAGTAAAGAGATTTTATAGTGTATGCTGTCAATTGTAATGTAACGTTTAGGCAATGGTATATAAACGTGTTTGAGTATGATGAAGGATATCTTAATCATATTTATTTCACTTTAATCTAATGCTAGGAAGCTGTCCAGAGATAGATGATCTGTCATGTATTTATCCAGATGGCTAGATTTGTAGAGTTTGTATTTTCTTGATAAAAAGTATTTTCCTAATACGTGTATATCCAAGTGGAATCCATTTTTATAAATAATGTGAGGTAGGAAGTTTTTTTTTCCCCCAAATGGACTGTCAGCATCATTTACTAAAAGTTTTATATATTTCCCCAATGATTTAAATTCTGTCTTTAAAAATTCCTGAACTTTGGAGGAAGATATTGAAACAGAAAAAGTTTATGTTGGAGAAGCTAGTGGAATATATTCCAGAAGAATTAAAGAAATACATGTACAAATTTGAACTTACCAGAAATCTAAGAGAGCATGTTGAGTGTCATCTCTTTATTTGGGAAGGAACTTTACAACAGCACACATATGAATGGAACACATCAATGTATTTGACTGTGAAGAACTGTGAAATTGACATCTGTTATCAAAGGTAAAGTGCAAAGAAATTGAGAAGATGTATTCCAAATTATTACATTTTTGGTGTAATATCCTCAGTGTAAAGACATCTCATAAACACATAGATGGCAAGGGTAAAATGTGTAAGGGTAAAGAAATGTGATGAAAGATGAAAAATGAATGAACAGTGAAGTAATGGAAGAAAAAAAACGAATGAACAGTGAAGAAATGGAAGAGGCTTCACTCTGGTGGCCATAAAATGCAAAGATAAGCAATTGCTAGATATCTTTTATTAAAGAAATGAATCTGTTTATTTGTACATAATTACACTGCTGTGGGTGTAGAAAGGCGGCAGACTCTTGGAATATCTGAGGGAGTGTGAATCTGCACAGCCTTTCTGAAGGCAATTTAAGAGGTCCATCCCAACTCTTAAAAATTGCTCACACCCACAGAAAAGCAAATACTTAGTCCATAGTGATCTAAATAAATTAAAGAGGGTGGGGAAGGGATAGGTCCTCCCTTCAGTAGGGACCTAATTAATAAATACAGAGGAAGGATGGAAATAAAATACTGCTATTTGGCAAACACCCCAGTGGTAATTTTATGGGCAGGAACTGTCAGTGGCTGCTAAACTTAGTAGGGCAGAGCACGTCCTCACAAGATTCCCAAAGGGAATAAACAGTACCTGCTTAGTGGAGAAGTCACGCAGACGCCACTACAACAAAGCAGTCAAAGGACCAACAGTATCAAGACATAGAGGTGTCATGTGTCCTACCCCCCTCACCCCATGTGTGGTAGGTACACTGTGACATTCCTGCCCAGGATGCAGCCTGAATTCTAAATCAGGAGAAAACATGATACAAACCCAGACTGAGGGACAGTCCACGTAGCAGCTGCCTAATACCTTCTGAAAGTGCTGAGGCTGCAACGGACAAAGTGGGTATCTGTCCAAGAGTAGGTGAGGCCAAGGAAGTCTTACAAAATGCAATGCCTGATGCTGGCCGGGTTCCATAAAATTTTTTTCTAAAAAGGACATCAGTGGGACAATTGGTGAAAGCTGAATACTGAGTTCTATAAATATTAATTTCCTGTGTTTGACACCTGTGTCGTGGTTATGCAAGATGTCGGCGTGTGGGCAAGACATGCAAAAGGAACTCTCTATATCACTGGAACCTTTCCAGCAGTCTGAAATACTTCCAAAGTGAACGTGAAAAGATGTTTATACCTTGGGCGCATTTTTCCATCTTTAGAAATCTAGCCTGGACACTAAAACATTTGTCTTAAGGAGAAGTTCGTTGAGCAAATTCTGCTTTGCAGTTTTCATCTTTTGCAGCATGAAGATCCTGAAATATTAGCAGAGACTTCCCAGGTATTTATTTTTAATTTTTTAATTTTTTTTTTTTTAGTTTACTGATTATCCAAATGAATTAATTGAATGGTTGTGAAAACAGTTTGTAAAGCTTCCAGGAACTACAGAATGGCCGATTGTAACTTCTTCCTTAAGAGCCAGAAGAAATACTGCCACTGAGATAGATGGATAGTCTCAGGGTGTAATTGATGCAGGAGCATGTGCAGTCTTTCCCAGGCCACTAAATGAAGCCAAAACTAACATACAGAGGGAGACCCCATAGACAAGGTCAAATATCACAACTGGCTGCTGAGGCCAGATGACATTCCTTGTTGACACTTCCTCTAAGGAAGACTTCAAGGTACAGAATGGAACTATGATCGGTCACCAGTCCTATTGTCTATCTGGTCTATAGTGCTGCAGAACTGTTCATGAATTGTTTTAACTGGAAAGGCTATGAAAGCTGTCTTGATTATTCTGGGTGACAGTTCCAACAGTATTCTAGTTGCTAAGAAACTAGATAAAAGAAAAGAAAAAAAAAACACCTCAATATGCCAGACTGGAAGCTTGGACAACATTGAAGCTCTTCAAAACTATGAAAATGACTTTGTCTACAAGTCTTCATTGATTGCAGACAATCTTGTTGTAAAAATTGCGGTAAAACACATAGCATTCAGTTTACCACCTTCACTGTTTTTAAGTGTACAGTTCAGTAGTGCTAATTATGTTCACACCATTGTGCAAAAGATCTCTAGAAATTTCTCACCTTGTAAAACTGAAACTATACCAGTTGAGCAACAACTCATTTCCCGTCTTCTCTGAGCCCATGGCAGTCACTATTCTACTTTCTGTTTCTGTGACTGACCACTTTAGGTGTCTTGTGTAGGTGGAATTTGTCTTTGACAGGCTTATTTCACTTAGCATAATGTCCTCAGGTTTCACACATGCAGCCTGTGACAGGATTCCCTTTTTTTTGAGGCTGAATAATTTTCTGTTGCACGTGTATAACATGTTTTCTTTATCCATTCGTTTGCTGATGGGCACTTGGATTGCTTCCGTCTCTTGGCTATTGTGAATAATGCTGCAGTGAATATGAGTGTGCAAACATCTCTTCCAAATTCTGCTTTTTAGTCTTTTGGATACATACCCAGGAGCAGGATTGCTGGATCATATGTCAGATTTTATGTATATTTCATTTTTTTTTGAGGAAGCTCCGTACTGTTCCATAGCAACTGTACCATTTTACATCCCCTCCAACAATGCACAAGAGATCTTATTGAGGAAAGCACATAGTTGGGCCTTCCTTTCTCTTTTTAAAAATCCACTTAGCCACTCTCTTTCTTTGATTAAGGAGTGTAGTCCTACATTTAAAGTAGTTACTGATAGGTAAGTACGTACTCTTGCCATTTTGTAGATTGTTTTCTGTCTGCTTTGTAGTTTTCTTGTTTCTCCCTTGTGGACTTTGTGCTTTGATGAGTTTTGTTGTTCCTTTGGGGGTGGTTGGAGGGGAAGTAATTAGGTCTATTAATTTTATTTGTTTTTAGAGGAGGTACTCGGAATTGAACCCAGGACCCCATGCATGCCAAACATGTGCTCCACCACTTGAGCTATACCCTCCCCCTTGGTTTGATGATTTTGTGTGTGTGTGGTGATACGCTTTGATTCTTTTCTTCTTTTTCTAAAATATACCCACTGTACAGGTTTTTGGGGGGTTACCATGGGGTTTGCATTGAACAATTTATAGTTAGAGCCATCTATTTAAAGCTGATAACTTTGATCACATAGGTATTCTACACTTTAATCTACCTTCACAATTTATATATAACTGATGTCAGATTTTACTTCTTTCCATGATGTTTTCATTAACACATCTCGTTGGTATAATTGTTCTTACTACTTTGTCTTCTAATTTATACACTAACGTCCAAAGTTATTTATGTTTTATTCTGACAGTATTTTAATATTCTTTGTTGCCTTTTAGCAATGAGATTTATACTCTCATATGCTTTCATGTTGTTTAGCGTCCTTCTGTTTCAACTTGAAGAGCTCCTTTTAACACTCTTGTAAGGCATGCCTGGTGGTGATGAATTCCCTCGGTTTTTGCTTGGGAAAATCTTTATCTCTTCTTCATTTTTCAAGGACAGTTTTGCCAGGTAATGTGTTCTTGGTTGGCACTTTTGTTCTTGCAGTACTTTGAATATGTCATCCTACTCTCTCCAGGTCTGCAAGGTTTCTTCTGAGAAATCTGAGAATCTTAGGGAAGCTCCTTGGTATGTGACAAGTTACTTTGATCCTGATTTCAGAGTTTTCTCTTTGTCTTTCAACAGTTTAATTATGATGTGTCTCAGTTTGGATCTCTTTGGATTCAACTTATTGGGGAATATTGGGCTTCATGAATCAAGATGTGCATTTCCCTTCTTAGACTTCTGAAGTTTCCAAACATTATGTCCTTAAGTAAGCTTTCTACATCTTTGTCTTTCTTCTGGGACTTCTATCATGTGTGTGTGCTTGTATGTGTATGTATATATTCATATATATGTATATATTCACTTAGTGGTGAATATAAATCCCATAGGCTTTCTTCACTGTTTTACATTCTTTTTTTTTTTCTTTTTCTCCTCTAACTAGCTAATTGCACATGACCTGTCTCCAACCTCAGTGATTCTTCTGCATGATAGAGTCTGCTACTGAAGCTCTCTGTTGACTTTTTGGCTTCATTCACTGTATTTAGCCCTAGGATTTCTGTTTGGTTCTATTTCAATGGCTTTTATTTTCTTGTTAAACCTCTCATTTTGTTTATGTATGTCTTTCTTATCTTGTTTAGTTGTTTGTATGTTTTCTTGTTCACTGTGATTCAGGTGATTATTTTGAGCATTCTTTTTCAAGCAGTTCATGGGTCTCCATACTTTAGGGTTGGTCACTGGAGCTTTAGTAGATTTTTTAGTTTCCTTTGGTGATAATCACACTTACTTGATTTTTTTGTGATCCACGTAGCCTTGTGTTGGTGTCTGTGTGTTTGAAGGAACAACCTCTTTCAGTCTTTACAGAGTGGTTTCAACATTCTCTCGTCAGGACCCCAGCTGATGGCACTGTCTCTGGTCTTATAAGCAACTGGCCTTGAACCAGGTATATGCCTGCTGCTGGGTCCACAGTCTGGACCAAAGTGGACAGCCTACTACTGGGGAAATGGACAGGCATGTCTCCCATCAGGCCCCTAGGAGGGCAAGACTGCCCCTGGACTGCAGTAGATCTGGTCTGCAGTTGGTTTGTGCTTTTTCAGGGCCCACAGTCAGCAGACTTACAACAGTATAAAAATTTTTACTCTACATAGCTTCGTTTCTTTTCTCTGTGTATTACTGTCATACATACATCTTTTTACATTGTTGTCCAACCTAAGGTTTTAATTATTGCTTTATGCAATTGTCTTTTAAATGAACTGCATAAGAGAAAAAAAAGAGTTACAGAAAATTTCTTTATACTGGCTGTTTATGTATGTAATTACCTTTACTGATGTTTCGTATTTTTTCATGTACATTCAGGTTACTATACAGTGTCTTTTCACTTCAGCCTGAAGGACCCCTTTTAGTAGTTCTTATAGGGCAGGTCTACTAGTGACATGCTCTCTGTTTTTGAATTTATCCAGGAATCCCTTAATTTTGCCTTCTTTGTAGAAAGATAGTTTTGCTGGATATAGTATCCTTTCAAAAATTTTTTAAAACTTTATTTTAATTTTTTGGAGGTGGAGATAATTAGAATTCTCTCTTTATTACTTTTGGTTGTAGGTACTGGGGATTGAACCCAGGACCTCATGCATGCTGGGCATGCACTCTATCTCTGAGCTATATTCTCCCTGCAGACACAGTGTTCTTAGCACTTTGAATATGCCATCCTGTTGCCTTCTGCCCTTCATTGTTTATGATGTGAATTCAGTTAATCTTATACAGAGTTCCTTATACTTATATAATGAAGTGATATAATGAAGTGCTTCTTTCTTGCTTTTCCTTTGTTGTTGTCTTTTGATGATTATGGTGTAGATCTTTTTGAGTTTATCCAACTTGGAGTTTATTGAACTTCTTGGATATGTTGATTAATGTTTCTCATCAGAATGAGAAAGTGTTTGGCTATTATCTTTTCAAGTCTTCTTTCTGCCTCTCTCTCTTTTCTCTCCTAGGACTCCCATATGCATATATCTGTACACCTGACCATATGCTACAGGTCTCTGTTCATTCTTCTTTATTCGTTTTTCTTTGTGTTCATCAGACTGTGCAGTCTAATGGATCTGTCTTCAAGTTCACTCACTCATGACAACAGCTCATACAACACAGTATCGGAAAGCAAACAACCTAATTAAAAATGGGCAGGAAACCTAAATAGACATTTCTCCAAAGACACACAGAGAGTCAGTAGGCACCTAAAGAGATGCTCAGTGTAGCTCATTATCAGAAAAATCCAAATCAAAGCTGCAATGAGGTACCACTTCACATTGGTCAGAATGGTTCATTAAAAGATCCACAAATGATAAATATTGGGGAGGGTATGGGGAAAAGGGAACATTCTGACACTGTTGATGGGAATGTAGTTTGCTAAAGCCACTATGGAAAACAGTATGAGATTTTTTTTCTCATAGGGCATATAATCCTATAATCTCACTCCTGGACATATATCCAGTGAACACTAATTTAAAAGGGTACATGCACCCCAATGTGCATAGCAGCACTATTTATAATAGCCACTACATGGATGCAACCTGAATGTCTATCAACAGGTTGGATAAAGATGTGGTATATATATATACACACACACATACACACAACAGAGTACTACTCAGCCATGAAAAAGAATGAACAATTGCCATTTGCAACAACATGAATGGACCTAGAGATTATCATACTAAGTGATGTGAGACATAGAAATACACACATGGTATCACTTATATGTGGAATTTAAAAAATGATAGAAATAAACTTATTAAACATAAAGAGACTCACAGACATAGGAAACAAATTTATGGTTACCAAGGGAAAAAGAAGGGGAGGGACATACTAGGAATTTTGGGTTATCAGATACTAACTATTATATATAAAATAGATGAACAACAAGGTCCTACTGTATATACAGGGAACTACATTCAATATCTTGTAATAACCTATTTGAAGAAGAATATGAAAAACAATGTGTGTATAAAACTGAATCAGTATTCTGTATACCAGCAACTAACACAACATTATAGGTCAACTATGCTTCAATAAAAAGAAGTAAATGAATAAAGTAACTAAGAAAGTAAGAAACTAAACAATCTAGAATGTGGAGAATGGTGAATCCCAGCTGAAACATGTAGAATTGCTTGTATACTTGAAAGTTGCTAAGACTAGATGTTATGCATTCTCAACACACACACACACACACACACACACACGCGCACACACACACACAGACTTAGCTAACTAATGGGATGAATGTGTTAATTATCTTGGTCTTGGTAATCATTTCACAATGTATATATCTATCAAATAATGATGTACACTTTAAATATGTACAATTATATTTATTGTTATTTATTGTTTATCCATTATTCGTCAATAAAGTTGAGGGAAAATAATTGGTCTGTTCTTAACAAAAAGATAAAGTCAGATGCATATCTGAGATCTTGTAACCTGGGCTATGGATTCTAATATCATTTATATAGATTGTTTCTCTGATGAGATTTTCTCATTTCCTGATTCTGCTTCAAAATTTGTTAACTCCTTTATCTGTCTCTACATGTTTTACTATTTTCATTTAGCTCAACAATAACTTAACCTCACTGGAAGATTGTCCAACACAATTTAATAAACATCTTAAACCTATCAGATATGAACATTTAAATGATTAACCAAATGCATAGGAATGTAGATAGATTTACAAGTGTGTTTTATATTGTGTTATAAGCACTAAAATACACCAAGATATTGTGCTTAGTCTGTCCAAACCTGAGTAAATGAAGTTACTTGGGTTTCATACTAACCTAGAAAATTAGTTAGGTCCCAGTATGTGTCCTAATTGGTATATTTGAGAAAAATCAAATTTCTGCTCTCAAAATTCTCAAAACAACATGAAGACAATTTAAGTCATTGGAGACCAACAAATGCTTATTCAGAGACTGTTAATTGCAAGAAAACTATAGAGCATTCAAAGATGAGTAATTCAAAATTGTAGAATAGATAAACAAGATTATACTGTACAGCACAGGGAAATATACACAAGATCTTATGGTAGCTCACAGAGAAAACAATGTGACAATGAATATATATGTTCATGTATAACTGAAAAATTGTGCTCTACATTGGAATTTGACACAACATTGTAAGATGATTATAAATCAATAAAAAATGTTAAAGGTGAAAAATAAAAAAGATGAGTAAGTCAGTCCTAAGGAACTTGCAAGCTATTTGTGTGAGTAAAAGTGTGAATCAACCATAATATACAGCAGAATAAAAACAGACTGAGTCAGAGCTAAAGGGAAACTGTGAAATCCATAATAAAGGAGCCGGTAAACCAAAGTGAGAGTTTCAAGACTATGGAAGAGAGGCATTTCCATAGACGAACACAGAGGGAGGAGTCATTCCAGGCTGAGGATCAGAAATGATGACTCATGAAATCATCTGAAAAATCCAAAGCTGAATAAACCAATATGGCTACAGAGCAGACTGTTGATGGTCAGCACAGGACACGTGGTTGGAAAGGCACATGAGGACCATGTCGTGCATCAGGGTATCTTGAATCATGTACAGCTTGTTGAAGACACATGCTTGCATCCATTTTTGAAAGAATTTGACTCATGAGGTCTAGGGAAATTGGGTATTTATGTTATGCTCGTCAGGTTGGGTAACTGTCAAATAGAACCCCACTCCCTCACCCTCATTGTAGTATGGTTCATATTATTAGAAATCAGAAAGAAAAGCAGTGTAATTTGTTGAATGTTGTTGACACACTGAAACGCAGAGTTGAGTTTTTCCTAATAGCACTAGCATTAAAAAAGTGGCATCATCTTTTCCCTTTGAACATCAGCTTTCTCCATAGAACCTTCCTCAGAGCCTCCAACACCTCCTTGTTCCTCAGGCTGTAGATGAGTGGGTTCAGCATGGGGGTGATGATTGCATTAAACACAAAGAGATGCTGGCCCACGTCTAGGGGCAGAGAGGAACCTGGGGTCATGTAGATGATCATGGCTGGACCGAAGTAGAGGCTCACCACACTGAGGTGGGAAGAGCAGGTGGCCAGGGCTTTGTCCCTGCCCTCGGGGGAGTTCATGTGGAGCACAGTGAGAAAGATGAGGACGTAGGAGGTCAGGATGAGACCAAAAGGTATGAGGAGGAAGACAATGCCGGATGCCAGCACCACCTTCTCATAGGCTGAGGTGTCCTCACAGGAGAGCTTCAGAAAGGCCATGACTTCACAGAAGAAATGGTGGATTATCCTGGAGTCACAAGTAGAGAAATTCATGGCATAAATTGTGTGAATGAGGGAGACGAGCACCCCTCCAGCCCAGGAACCCGTGGCCATTTGCAAACAGACCCCGGGGGTCATGATGACTGGGTATCTGAGGGGGCTGCAGATGGCCAAGTAGCGGTCAAACGCCATGAGCGTCAAGAGAACACA